CTGTACCGTGGACCGCTTAGTACTCATACAGTAACCGATGAGGATATTGTTCATTTACGCGTTCAGAGTATCAACAGGAAGAATGTTGCGGTGAGGATACGCCCTTTATTAATTTTTATTATTTGATAAGCCGTATATAGGCTACTCACAACAGAGCTAGGCCGAGCTCCTTGCTCTTGTTTTTGACCAAAGGTTTCTAGTTGCCAGAAATATCCTAACGACATGGGGCATCTTGACAGCATTTCTGATAGCTTTAAATCGGAATGATTGTTGTCTTCCGAGAGTCCAAAGATTACGCGGGGCTATCTGGCACCGTCTACGCTTACTATTGGTGCGCTGACAAGAAGTTGAATAATTTTATGTTGTTTAGAGTGATTTCTCTGAAGTAATCACGCTGGTTCGTGAGCCTGAGCTTATAATCACAAAACCACCTCAATTATCCTCACCGGTCATTGAAGGTTTTGGAAAAGGAGCCGTTCGCGTATCGTGGAGTGCCCCTAAAACAGTGGTAAGTTTATATTCCTTGTTTAAAACAAAAACTGCGTTAAAGGCAGCGATTACGATAAAGAGGAAGCGCATCGGGAAGCATATGCACCACACGAATCAGTTACTTGGCTGCCAAGGAAGCGAGGTGTGGCGCTTTCACGACGAAAGGTGCGCTGGTTGCTGAGCAGGACTTCGAAAGCACTCCGCCCCCAAAAGCGATCCGCCCACTAGTTTAGTTGGTGATTTGGACGAGCTGCGTTGCCAGCAGCGGCACAACTGGAGCAACTCGATTGGAGCGTGGTTTGGCATGGTGCCACCAAACGCGTTGCGGTGAACTCCATACTTCTGAGCTGTTACCTGTTCATGAGTGAAAACCAACGGCCAAAAAAGGAGGGTCCCGTTTTGCGTTTTCTTGACGGATTTCTCTGCTTTTTTCGCCACTGGCGTACCACTGAGCACCACCACGTCTCTCTAAACCCTCTACAAATTATCGTAATCGCTGCCTTTAAGTTCAAGTAATTCACAACTTGTAGCATCCCACATTTGAACGCACTTCTTTGTGTAGCGTTTTTGTATATGCATGTTATGGGTGCAATTCAGAACAAAATTACCCTTTTACGGAGCGCGTTTTTGTGGTGTGTTGTCGCGCACCCTATGCGTCTTTACGTGAGGACTTCTAAGAAGGTCGCATCCGAGTTTGAGAAATTTTGCCTATTTGTGGTCTTTGCAGATTCCTCCCACGGCCACTTTGATGTTCGAGGTGCGGCGCATCGACGACAAAAGCGAGATCGTTTATTCTGGGTCGGAGCCAAATTGTCGATTGGAAGGCTTGTCGAGTCGACAGCATGTCGAAGTTCCGGTGGAGCGTTGCGCAAAACTCATCCTGTGACATCAGCTAGCTTGGAAATTCTTGCAAACTCGCGCTGCGCGTTTTTAAGGTCGTTCTGGGGTCGAATGTGCACCAATGGTTCACGCTATGAAGGTGACTGGAGTCCGGTCACTGGTGGGAACGCTCCTCGTGATGCACCAAGCACACCTACCGAATTGGCTATCAACAGCGAGAGGTTCGTGATTAGGCACTATTCACACGCTATTAGCCTTTTGGGGGTTAACTGGTATCATTTAGCGGAAAATCTACCATTTTCGTCCAGTTTGGCTTACCTTCGTGAAACTTTCGCCAACCTCGCAAAAAACGCCGCTCAATTTAACCCTTTTTTTGACCAACCTTCCAACAAGTTTTCCGCGCGAACACGCCTAGAACATTACTTGTTCACACCCAAAAATAAAAATGCGGCCCACATCATCTCCAACTAGTTCCGAACGGACGGCACGGTTACGTGCAGGTTTTTGGGTTTCGTCGCTGTACGCTACGCAGTGGGAAAACGTATACACAAAAGGCTTATCATAAACTTTGTTAAAATCGCAGTGCCAATCTAGGGGTTTTTATACAGTATTTAGGACTTCATATACAGGAATATGTGGGCGGCCCCAGATACCGTATCTCAATTGGGCCAATGACAGTACTCAAACTAAAGGATGAGAAACGCATTACTACGGCAATACCCAAGCAGCACGATGCATCACATATTAGATAGCGGTGCTGAGTCCCTTATCAATGTCATCTCAGAATCTACTTACTTAAGGCATCTTTTCGATAAAAAGGACAAACCCCTCAGTTCACCGGGTATATAGCAATGTCTCGTAGGTATCCTGCTAATGCAATGGAGTATGTATCTGAAAGAACAAAAAAAAACAGTCTGTTTACAAACACATTCCATGATTAAACTACAGTCTGCTGACAGTCCCAAAGGCTCATTAATAGACATTAGCGTTCTAACGGCAGCCGATTAACCAGCTAAAAAAATGATAAATAGAAGGGAACTTCGTATTAATGTTTTTTTTTCAAGACGACGCTCACATGGAAAGCTCCGGAGTCGTCGCCAGATATCCGTTATCGTGTGCACTGCAGCCAAGTGATGAGTGGCCACGAGACCGAGGAGACCGTGAGCGAAACCGGCGAATGTCACTACTCATTAGCATTACTCGACCACGCTAAGCAGTTCACATGCAGAGTATGTTGTTTGGGTCGTGCGTTCCAATTCTCGCATTTCGGGTGACCGTGCTACGAGTATGTCTCAGACAAGATTGATTGATGTGCGTTCGAAAAGTGTGACGTGCAAAATTTGTTTTTTTGCTGTGACGTGCAAAATTTGTTTTTTGGGATGACATCGGCCTTGAAATTCGGTGTTTTCGCTTGTACTTTGGAGAATCCGAAGAACCTCAAAAATACTGGCAAAAAAAGTTTATTCGCGCTAGGAAAGGGCGGGATGAGTGTGAGGGATGATCGAGATAGCTGCTCATTCCGCATGGGACTTCCTTTTACTGCTGTACCATCAATTATTTTCTATTACCTTCATTGAGGAGCCATGAATAGCTATATAAGTCAAAGAGATCTTGTTAAGGAAATGCTATCCAACAATTTGAGGGAGCACTTTTTTCCTTACTGTACGTCTCTATGGACCTATTTCCCAAAAATTATTGGTCGCTGGCTTCTCGGTTGTAGGCTGTGATGCACGGATGAACAGCCTCATTGCTCTCTTTTTGTTATTGTTCACAGAAATTAGTCATGATGAATTCTTTTTAGGTATCAGCTTTTCACGACGGTGGGGAATCGCCTCTTTCACAGCCACTGGTTTTCACCACACGTAGCGGAGCACCCGCACAACCTGATGGTGAGAATGTTTTTGATGGTTGTTTGAAGACTTCGCGACAGCGTGAAGAATGAAAGTCAGCTAACTTCGGCTCAAAAGGCATGTTTTGCGAATGAATATGTAGAGCCCGTTGCTCACCAACACGAGCGTATCTGTAGCTCGCTGTAGCTCTCCAGTAATGAAGGGAAGCAAAAAACTGCTAAGACTCCTTGAAAGTCACATGAAGTTGATTGTGCGCCGATCACATGGGCGGAGTTTGCGTCCCGCTCAGTAGTAGACGGTAAAATATGATAAAGTGATATAGCCAGCCAAGCAGTTCTCCGCAGAAGCGTAGCGCAGAACCATTTTCATGATCAACATGTGATTTCAAAGACTTGAGCATTTTTTCCGCGTTCTGCCATAATTGGAGGCCCAAGCGTCAGTGCTTCTTTCTTGCTCCCATGCAGTGAGCTTAGCTTCAACAATCGCGGAATATGCCTCTAAGTGAAAGCAGCTGCGTTTCGACCGCACATGAACCCCACCTCTATCCTGGCTCACTGACTGTAAATTCATCTAGCCCCTTCCGTTAACTTGCATACGTGCACTACTGAAGTTGTAATAAAGCAT